CACCGGATGTACAACGATGGTACACGCGGATTACAATGGCGAATCCGCGGAATGTATACCGGGATTACATCCTTTGTCGACAGCGGAGGTTACATCGGGATTACATGGGGCTTACAAGCGCTGTACATGGGGCGGACAGCGGAGGTTACATCGGGATTACATGGGGCTTATAGGCGCAGTACATGGTACGGACAGCGGAGGTTACATCGGGATTACATGGGGCTTATAGGCGCAGTACATGGTACGGACAATGGAGTTTACATCGGGATTACATGGGGCTTACACGCGCGGTACATGGGGTGGACAGCGGAGTTTACATCGGGATTACATGGAGGTTACAATGACGGGTCGGGTCGACGGGTCACGCACGGTAAGAAGTATATTTTTATAGTGGTGGGGCCGACTAAACCGACGTGTCATCCGGTGATTCGCTATCGCACGCAGCGCTGCGTACATCTTATGTACCCAAATTTTTTCCCCGTGCTTGGACCCCTCGTATAAAGACCTTCCATATACGATATACTAAAGTATAAATATATATATATATCTATATCATGCTTCGCTTGCTAATCAAGCTACGCAATGAGCAAAAAGCACCAGCAACATTTGATTCGCTACTTCACCACTTCAACTGCTGACAGCTGACTCGATTAGTTGTTGTTGAGAAGAAAATTTAGATGTTTTCTAAGTTTACAGGGTTTTGTTTCAAAAACAAATATAATTTAGTTATTAAGTTTTTGCGTATAATCCATAATATTAAGTATAATAGTTTAACCACCCAAATTTTAAATGTAAAAATTTCATTATTTTTTTCATTGCAACCACCCTCCTAAGGTCACTCATGAAAAATTTAAGTGAAGGTTTTGAATGGTTAAAATTATATATGTAAAATCTGAATATCATAATGTCATTTATTCTTTTGGGTGGTTGGTCAACATTATGTTTTAGTTTTTTTTTTTTAATATTCCACAGCTACAAATCAATAGTCAAATATTTATATGTATGCTGCTCAACTGCAATGAGTCAAAAGAAAGCAAAATCCTTTCCTTTCAAGTAGACAGTATTTAGTCATCCACTAAGACTATCAGAAAAAGACAACCCAAGATTGCAGGGCACAGGAATTTACAAACCAGACGCCAGAAAAAGATGGTGAGCATAAAAAATCACTAAAAAAAAGAGAGCCTAGTAGCAACCTTTTAACAGCAGCAGGAGGGCAGAATAAGCACAAGCCAAAGCTACATCAGTTTAAACCCGACTGTTCGCGGGTAGTGGAACCACAACATCAAAGAAATCTCCGAAGTAACCATGCGGCTCGTGTACCAATTTGGAGATAATGTCTCTTAGTGTAATAACACTCTCCAAATTTTCATCCTCGTCGACTACGTATATTCTGTGTATCTTCTCAGAATCCAACTTCAATATGATGTCTTCTAGTAAGTCTGTTCTTTTGCAGGTGATAACGCTATGAAGTAGAGGTGAGGCCTCTTCACGCTCCTGCAAGTAATTTCTGACTGCTGCAAGGAAGTTCTTGGCTGTGATGGATCTGCAGCGAGTTAAATCAGCTGAAGCACAGGTTCTGCAAGATTTCTATGGGAAACAAATGGGCCAGTTATTTATAATGTAGACTAGTCCTCACATACCTCAAGTTTTTGTATATTTCTGGAGCAGTTAGAAGGTATTGTATATCTCTTATGCTTATATTGCCTAGCACTTTATGACCACTTTCATCAACGATAGGGAGTCCACCAATTCTCCTTTTCCTCATCAATTGGAAGGCACTGAGGACTGGTTCCTCCTCGAAGGCCTAAAAAAGGCGTAGGATTTTAATTATCATAAGTTGGAGATAGAGATATGTGCTTTAGAGTAAAATATTCAAACAGAACCGAATATGAAAGTAAATTGATTCCAAAAAACAAAAATACACAAATAATGAATGTTGCACGGTGGAAAAACTAGTTTCAGGAAACTTTCTATTTTTTAGGATTGCATTAAGCAACCAACTCTAGTAACAGAAGAAATTTCCTGCCGTTGATTTCAAAGTTATATGTAAACAAGAAATTTAACTAATGCAGCTAGCAGTCCTGCATGTGCAGTCAATCAATTAATAGTCATAATACCTTTTCAAGGTGTAGTGTAAACAAAATAATGAATACTGTAAAGCGTTCAGCAAAATGCCTATAAAATAACGAGTAAGCATACTCATAACTGATTTCTCTCGGGTAGGCTCAAAATATAAAATGGATCCTTACACGCACGCATAAAATTTATTGTTTATGTTATTTTGACATGTTTTAAGAAAAATAGTAGAGTAGAGAGATAGGGTTATGAATTAGTAAGACTCTTGAAGATGGTTTCCTCCTCGCCTTGATGAATTCCTTCAACTTGTAAACCTCCTTATAGAAAACTTCACGGGGCTCTTGGTTTTGACATAGATTTATGAGGGGAACTAAGTAAAAAGAAAGAGAGAAAAGAATAGACACCCAAATATTCCAAGGACGAACTTGTATTGCAAAGAGATTGAACTCGCCAAATTAGTTCAAAATGAACTCAACTACAAAGCTCAACACAGACTCACCAGCCAAGCTCAACGTAAACTCGCCAGCCAAGTTCAAAGTGAACTCACCAGCCAGGCACATTAAGAGTACATTACGAACATAGAAAGTGTGCTACACTCATGATGAACTAGCCAACTGATCCAGCTCAGGCATAATTAAACCCAAGCCCAAAAGCCACCTAGCAACTCTTAGAAGTAAAACCAATAACTTCCTCCTAGCCTGTTGAGTACAAATTCGACATCCCACTTACATTATGCGCCTGCTGTATTTTGCAACAAGTAACAAATGGGCCTCGCTTTATGCTTTTCAATACTCATGTACCACATTATGTACCCTTGTTTACTGTGCTCAAACATAAATTCGAACTTACAAATAGGGCTTTGTGAAAAGAACCCAAGTTAATGCTAAGAAAGCAGATAGAGAGAAGAGAGAAGCAGGTATTAGCAAGCTCCAAAAATTTTTCTCATTAACTAAAAATACGTATAAAGGTACAGAATATATATAATAGAAAATATAACATTCTAGCATAAAGGAAATAATAAACTTATCTTTTCTATTGAGATTTGGCAAGTGTAGCTAAACGAAATTGTTTCAGTTTTCTTCCAGCTGCCCTATTTATGCTTTCAGCCCCTTGCAAGATGATGGGTCGAGGTTGCACCATCAGCTTGGATTTTAGCTGGTTGAAGTGTTGTTTGGAGAGGGATTTGGTGGGCAAGTCTGCCGATTGGTCCCGAGCGTGAATTTGATGAATTTGTATATCCCGTGACAGAATGTGATAACATATAAAGTGGTAGTTGATTTCAATATGTTTTGTGCGAGGGTGAAATACCAGATTAATAGTCATTTCCATGGCTGAGATATTATCACAGTGAAGTTCGGTAGGATACTGTAGAAGAATGTCAAAGTCTTGTAGAAGGCGCCATAGCCAAATGACTTCGGTTGTCTCGATAGCAAGCGAGAGAGATATTTTGCCTCCGTCGATAACCATGCCACTATGTGTTGTTTTTTTATTGTCCAATAAATCTATGTGTTTCCCAAGTACGAGCAATAACTCATGTTAGATCTGTGTTTGGTAGATTCTGCTACCCAATCAGAATCTGAGTAGGTTTGTAATTGAAGCTCAAATGGTGTAATAAGAATGTCTTGATCGGCTATACCATGTAGGAGGCGAAGTACCCTCTTAAGCAATTGGTAATGGTATGTAGATGAATTATGCAGATGCTGGCAAAGCAGATTAATGACAAATGAGATATCATGTCTAGTAATTGTGAGGTACTGCGGCGAGCCCTTCAGTTGCCTACAGGTTGTTGGCTCATTCATAGGATTAATAGTTTCCATAGATGGATTGACCTTCCTAGGCAATGAATTAGACACCGCCTTGCATCCCTGCATATCTTTTGTTTGTAAGATTTGTTGAAGGTCCTTTGTTGGACCAGGAAAAGGAAAGAAGCAGTGCGAGTGATTTTAATACAAATATCGGGATACGTGTCCCAAATCTTTGATCTGAAATATGGAATCAAGTTTGTTTTTCAACTCTACAATGGTAGAGTCATATGCACCTGTGATCAGGATGTCATCCACATTAGAAGAAGATAGGTACTATAGGTAGATTGTTGGGAAATAAGTAAAGATGGATCAGCTATGTCGAATTCAGATCCCACATTGATGAAGAATGTTGAAATAATGGCAAACCATTGTCGGGGAGATTATTTGGAGTCATAGATGGCCTTTTTGTGTAGACATTAATGTGACGGAAATTGAGTATCAATAAATCCAATAGGTTGCTGCATATAAACAGTTTCATCTAAAACTCCATGAAAAAAAAAGCATTCAATACAACAAATTGAAATATAGGCTATTATTTCTGAAACACGAGTAAATAGTGTTCGGAAAGTAGATAACTTTGCAACCGGACTAAACATATCATGATAATTGATCCCCAAATCTTGTTTGTGTCCTCGAGCTACCAATCAAGCCCTGTACAGGGCCACTGATCTATAGAAATTAAATTTGGTGCTGTAAGTCCAACGATACCCCAATATTGATTGAATAGGTGGTAATGGAACCAATTCCCAAGTGGCTTGTGCTTGAAATCCATGAAATTTCTTATTCATGGCTTTCCTCCAGTGCGTATACTTCACAGCTTGGGAGTAACACATAGGATCAAGTGGCTATTCAAGTTGGTGCAAAAGATTCAAGCGTTGGACTACTTACTGAATTTCGGCTTTGGCCCTGGTCAGCGCCAGATGAGTTGTAGGCATTGGAGTTGTCTTTTGGTGTGGGAGAGGGAGCTACAGTGATTCGGTTTTCTTAGGTACAGTAGATAAGTGGCGTGGAAGCGGAAGTTGGACGGGTCGGTTGAAGTTGAGTATTGGCAGGTAGCACATGTGAGGAGGAAAGGGTTGATAATGCTTGTGGTTGGTATTGAAGAGTGGCGGTTTGGTTGTGTAGTAAATGAATAGGGATTTTCACCAAAAATTACATGCCGTGAGATTATTATCCTACCCAAATTTAGATGAAGACACTTTTAGCCTTAGTGAATGGGTGATCCCAATAAAATACGAGCGGACCTTAGAGCTAGATTATGGGCCACTTGTGGTTGCATCCACAAATAGCATGCACAACCAAACACTTTGAGATGGGTGTAGGTAGGTTTGTGGCATATAAAAGTTCATATGGAGATGCATCCAAGTTGTTCCTAGATGACATTATGTTAATTAGATAGGCAACTCTAAGTAAGGTGTCGACCAAGGAATTATATGGGAGAGATGCATCAGAAAGTAGTGCTCAGTTGTTTCAATGAGATGGCAATGTTTGTGTTCCGCAACCCCGTTCTATTCCGGAGTGCAGTGATATAATAGTTGGTAGATAATGACATTTTCGTTGCAAAATTTTGCAAGGTTAGCACTCATAAATTCCCCTTCACCATTGGCAAGTGACACTTATCTTAAATTAGGTTTTAATCATATTAATAAACGTGATACATTTAGTAGTCACCTTAGTTTTTGCAACAGGAGGAGAAACCCAAAAAAAGTATGATTAGTCAAAAATGAAAATAACATAATAACGAAAACCTTGATGAGAGACAATAAGGGAAGGACCCCAAATATATGTGTATAAGTTGAAAGTGAATATACTTATATGATGTAAGAGAAAAATGTTATGTATGACTTTTACTAACATTGCAGCTCTTACATGGTAATATAGTGGACGGAATGCCTAATGTCGGATGTAGTTTGTTAATACCCTTGAGAACATTGGTATGGGGTAGCCAAGCAGTCTGTGCCATTTTGAAGGAAGAGAAAGGGAAGTATGAAGATCTTGATGAGTTGATGTTGTCGAGGGAGTGATGTGAAAAGGATAGAGACCTTTAGAGCAGTGGCCTCGAAGTAGAGCCTTGGGTGTCTGTGGATCAAAAATGGTAAAACCAGTGGCATCAAAATGAAGAGATACATTGTTATCTTTTGTAAGTTTTTGAACCGAAAGTAGATTTATGAGATAGGGAGGGAGCATGCCAAATTTGAGTTAAATTTAGCTTACGGGTAAGCGTAGGTAAGATTCCAACTCCAATGTGGTGAATTTAAACTGGTTGACCATTACCCACGGTCATTTGTTCGGATCCATGAGTTGGTACTGTTATTTGTAGGTGATGAAGATCCAACGTCATGTATGTTGCCGCGCCTGAATCTAGGATCCAGTCGGAAGTTGAAGGATTGAAAGCCTGATTTGTTGAAGCGGTAGTTCAGATTGGTATGAAGCTAGCATGTGGTGGCAGAATGGCCAACTTTGTTGTAGATCTGATATATCACTATGGATCTATTGTTGCTGTGACCCCCTCATTCCCTGTCTGTATGGGAGGGTGAACCACTTCCTCATCCTCCAGTATAGGCGTTCTGGTTTCTTTTGGAGGCTTGAAGTGCATGTGGCATTGGGATGTGTCTCAAGTTTCAGATTATTCGTAGCCACGTTAATTTCTTCACTGCATAAAAAAGAATAGAGAACATCTAACACTAATGGTTGAATTTGAGTTTGAATAACAGTCATGAATGTTTGATATTGTGGTGATAACTCATTGGGAGTGTAGAGAATGATATCCTCTTGATCAAGATGTCTTCCATCCACCATAATATTATTTGCCAAGGCTTCTGCGGTGGATATGTATTGTATCATCGACTAATCTTTCATGTTTAGCAAATGCAGCTCGTTTTTCAGCTAGATGAGCATTCACCGGTTGGTAGGTTGTAAATGC